TGAGTCTACGTCCACTCTTCCACGCTAACATCTTACTAGCTGGATTCCACTATAATCGATGAGAAGTTACAGTTGTATGTGATTGCTAATATTCAAGCACTTCTCCACAAAGTAGGTGCTGCTTATACTCAAGCTGATATGTCTCACTATCTCACACCTAAGCACACACTTATAACACTGTTAACACCTCTCAAGAGATTCAATAATATGCTCTCTAAAGACAATTCAAAGTATGTGAAGCACTCTCAAAATTTGGAATTTTATACTCTTGATCATCTTGCTCTTCGACACCTTAGTCTTCTTTCATACTCCTCAGTATCCGAACTTCCTGTTGAACAATTTTCGAGGATCAGTTTCCAATCTACCTGTTGGATAATTGTTTAGAAGATTAGGTAGCTGTTGAGGTTGAACAATCAAAGATCCCATTGATTTAGCCGCCCATACAAGCAAATCTTGGTTTCCAACAATGGAGATCTTCAGCTATGGAAATAATCTTGCCTTTAGAATGATTGTCAATCAACCAAGATATCCCGCATGATTGATTATTTTGCGAAGATAATCTTTAAGATTGATAGACAATCAAGATCTTCTAAAGTGACAATCCATATGATATCACTAGCTGTAAAGAATGAGTTTAAGTATCTCAAAATGAAAATCTTGAAGTTTGTGATAAGAATCTCGTTGCAGGTAGAATAGGTGTTTTGCTAATATTCAGCTTATTCTGATGATATCTAGCATCTGCTCCGGCATTGTATGCTGATATCCACTTAGTAGCCTTGCTAATATTCATGCACTTCCCTTGCGAATATTCATCCAATTGCCTTGTAGATATTTATGCAGTACACTTGCTGATATTCACATAGTACGTTGCTTATGGCTTGTTGGATATTATCAACTATTCTTTCCAAGATACTTTTACAACGATAATGATGTAGATTCTGTAGACATAAGATCTCAATGCTTTCAAGTCAATATAGAATTCCACCGATCTAAATTTGTTCTGAAGATCTTTCAGTCACACGAATATTACCTGAACATAAACACTTCTCGCATTTATTAAGATCAATATAAACCATGGATCGTTTTGTCAACTTCAAACTATGTAAGAGGTTTTCTCAACATTCATCTGTTCAAAGAGCTGAAGAAGACTTGGTCGCTCGAGGACGATTAGGTTTGAATCCGTCAAAAACCAGACCAGGAATTAATCTTTCTTAAAAGCTTGAGTTTGATCTACGTGACAGAGACCTGTCTTAAATCGCAAACATGGATTTGAAGTTTCAGCACATGCGCGTCGGTTGGTGGCAAAAGATTCTTCGAATTAGTTGATCTTTCTTGACGTATGGCTGCATGTAATTTCACAAAACGTTTATAAAAGTCCACTACATGTATCCTTAACATCTACCAAGTTTATGACATCATATATAGATACAATTTTATCAAATTGTTCTCGATTTATCACTCAATGAAGTCAGTCTTTCTCCCTGTAAGTGATTATAAAAAAAATCCACTACAAGTCTAGTAACTTTTTAAACTTAAAAGTAAGTTTTATTAGTTACTTTTTGGTTTTTAAACATGGTAAGTAACTTCTATATAGGTTAGTAGGCAGAAGAATACTAAAAGTGCCAAAAGTATTGTACGGTGCTTACATTAGTGCCAAAAGTTTTTTTTCAGATCACTTAAGTACCACTTTTTTAAGAAAACAGTCATTTAAGTGCCAATTTCGATCAATGTTGCCGGAAATCCGACATGGCTCGCCGGCGTGCTCAGTTAGCATATGTAGCCTAAAATGACATCATCTATGTGTTTTGCTCCAAAATATAAATCCCAAACCGCAACATAAAAGAAATTTCCCAAATTGAAATCCTTAAATCTACCATAACCCCAAATTGAAACTCTATTTGATTTTCCCCCAATGCAGATGGAGGAGGGATTGAGCTTGGAGGCGGTGTCGGAGGAAGAGGATTGGCGATGGAATTTGGCCTCGAGCTCGTGCTTCTCTTGCTTGCGAAGCTTTTGGATTTGCTTCTGCTTAATCTCGAAGCACTTGAAGATGCGTCGATCGCCGGTTTTTTAAGCAAGGGTTTGGCGCTTCCTGAGTAGTTCTTGCTTGAGGATGTCCATTCTCGGGTTTTGTTTTGGCTTTGAGGTTGATGGGAGGAGGAGACAAATCAGCATGAGTTCAGTTTAGGCATGTTGGGGAAAAATATGATCCATCGGGAAGAAAATGGAATCAGATTTTAAGGCGTGGTAACACTTTCTTTAAGGAATTGTTTGTCCTCCAACGTTGCTAATGGTTACTAGCAAAAATCTTCCAAGATACAAAAAAATTTCAATGATAATACTAGATATCAATTCTAGTATTTCTCTATAAACTTTCAAAGGGAAACAATTGGAAAATGTGGCTGTACGGTTTAAGAAAGAAGTATCGAAAGTAAGTGAAAAGAGACTGAAAAAATATGAATGAAAAAATATGAACATATATTTCAGTCTTCTTTAACCGAATGCAACATTTCGGGAGAATTTATTCCCAAACAGATACGTTCTGAAAAGACACGTTGAAAATTTGGATTAAAAAATATAATAATAATAAAATAATGTTTTTAATTCCAGATTTCATAATTTATGAAAAATTACCACCTTTCAAGGAGAAGAAGTTATGTCCAAAATAGACACAACTCTCTAAATGTTAAGAGGTTATGTTTGAATAGATATAACTTTCCAAAGATTGTAAGTGTTAGGCAAAATAATGAAATTCGAAATTAATTAAAAAGTTAACCATAATTCCTTTATGAAGGACCACACTATTTCAATAGGACAAAATAGTTATTTTATAATAATAAATGAAAATAACAAATGAGGATTAGTGCCAAAACCGCACAATTAGTCACGCACTTGCATGTAGGTATTACAGGATCAAACACGCTCAGCTCATCGTATTCGATCGTACAATTAGAAGACTCTCACACTTAAAAATTGGCCCATTTACTCCAAACTTTCCTATGTGGGATAAGGCACCAACAAACAAACTTCCAACAAGGCATTCTATCAAACATGTGGCGAGCAATTTCCTAACAGTATTTACATTCAAAGCAATTTGGAATCCAACATCCAGATCAAAGCCAAACATGCAAACAAATTAAGAATCATCGAGCTAAAATCAAACTCAATCAGATTGTTGTTCAATCGGAAACTAACTTTCGACACCGCTATTTTTGTCCTCAATAAACTGAAATTGAGTGAATATAATCGTAACTTGATGAAAAGAGATTCTAGTCACAATCGATGATTAAGAAAGCGTGAACTGGCTTTGGAACTTGTCAACACTCAAATCAGAACAGTCATGAGGACTTGGAACAAGATCTAGCAACCTTTGAAATTTTCGGTGATAGAACAAAGTGAAACAGAGCACTCTTGGTCTTCGTCCGGAGATGAAGCCAGCAAAGATGGCTTACGATGAATGGCGACGAACAGCAACAAACAATTACAAGAAATGTTAATGGCAACCGGAATCGAAATCTATGAACGATCTGCAACCGCGATTCCGACTCTTCGAAGCTTTTGGTCAAAGAACGGTGAAAACAGAGCTGGACAAATCACAACTACGGACGCAGCTGAGAACAACAACGACGGCAATCTCACGATGGCTAAAGTGAAACGAGTCGATTTTTTTCAGTGAAGAGGATGGCTGTGCTTAGCGTACTGGGTGGTGGCTCCATGGGCAGCGGTGGAGAGAACGGTGAAGGAGGAGAAGATGACAAAGAATGTAGGAGAGAGAGAGTCGGAGCGAACGACGTCGTTTTACACAACCAGCCACGTTGGACTGTGCGACGTTGTTCTATTTGTTCAGGTGGATTGAATTTTTAAAAAAAAATGCCAATTCATTTTAATTTTTTTAATTATAAATGCCACGTAATCATTTTGATCGGAGTTTCTTGCCAGATACACTTAAGTGATCTTTTTTTCTTCGATTTGGCACTTAAATAAGTCGGCGAAAATTTTGGACACTAAAGTGAGTGCCGTACAAAACTTTTGACACTTCTAATGTCATTTTGCCTAGGCTAGTAAGATGCAAGGAAGTAAATTTATAATCTTCTCTATTGTAGAAATAAATTTCTTCTACATTGGTTGGTAATTTTGCCATGTGTTCTCTAACTTTCCAGGTTCAAAAGTAAGTTCAAACTTATCGGTAACAACTTTGGAACTTTCAAATTATCAGAAGATAGCTTAGTCCTTGACTTTTCATTAAGAGAAAGAGCAAGTTTGAATACATTTTTGTTGGTCAAAAAGTTTGAATATATTCTAGAAAGTTGAAGTTCTCACATTAATTAGTAACATTCCTTACGAGAAAGGAAGATGATGGCAACTTTTGAATGTGATTAGGGACATTTCATGTAAAAGTTAGATCATTTAACACATTGGTAAGTTCCGCAACTAAATACCGGTAAACTATTCAAACAATTGCTACTTTTGCAACAATCTCATAAATGTTGGTAGATGAAGTAAAAAAAGTCAGTAATTTCATATTATGTTTCGTAATTTCATATAATGTTGGTCTATGTGAATAAATTGTGGTAGACTATTGGAACAATTTATAATTTTAAAACAATCGAATAAACATCGATATTTGGCTCATATAAGAGTTAATAAGTTAAGCTACATAAGTAGATGTTGGTATGTTGGAATAGTAGGTAATTTTGAAAAGAACTGATAATTTTCAAAAGAGTTGGTAACTGTTTTCTTGGTCCATAAAAGAGTTGGTAACTTAAACTCCATTAAAACCGGGGATAATTTTTGAAGTATAAATAAATGTGGGCACTTTTCAAAATTTGATAGTAACTTACTAATAACATACAGGCAAAACAAGTTGTTAGTCAATATTTAGTTACCAACGCATTTGAAAAGTTATCTTAACTTTTTCAATCATTTACCGGCAAGGTACAACATTCCTTATTTTCCCTCGCAAAACACTAGCAATCTGCACAAGAATGTGGAGCACCGACTTAAGTTGCCATGATAAGTTCATCAATTAACTGCTTTAACAACCGAACCAGGAATATCAGTACAGATCTACAATACAAGCATGCTTCATCTCCATAAACACACTGCACCAAGTTCTTTCAGCTGAAGGAGATAACTGCTTCACTCAGCATGACATAGGAAACATTGCAAGATGACCGGTTCACACATACAATCAGAAAAAAGCCAAAATTCAGGAGATCGTCGCCTATAGCAGATGAACAGCGACAGTATATCCTCCTTGCCGATGGGAGCATGCATGGAAATGGTAAATCTAACTCGGGACGACCTTGGCTCTCAGATGTCTTTGACGAAGATATGGTACTCACGTGGTTCAAGAAGTTCGTTGTACACGACCATGGCAACAGTAGTCTTACCTGATTGGTGGTGGTTGTAGAGGGAATAGCAGTAGAGCACCGCTGGATTGGCTGGCTAGTGGCGGTAGTTAAAGCAGTGATAAACCACCAGTGATACGATATGCAAATGTTACAATCATACTTTATAAGAGTGACATGCCATAGTCATTGATTAGTAATATACCATAACAGTCATCTCTTTTCCAGATACATACTAGCAAACCAAGCATGCATTCACAAACACAGAAAATAGAAATCCACAACATAGAAAGTCACGCAAACTCATGAGTTAACAGATTACCCATCAGCCATGTTCTCCGCTTCCCATCCTTTCAATGCTCCTTCCACATTAAGAGCATCCCTCCATCCTTGCATGGCCTCATGCTTCTCGTGCCGAGAGAAGGCTTTTGGCTGCTGAACTCATGGGTCGAAACAGAAGATTGAAAAGATCACATGTTTCCTTTCTTCCCTACATTTAACCGTGGGCGCCAGCTCCTTGAGGCACCATCTACTAGAAGCATAATCTTTACTCTTTAGAGAAAATTGGTAAGAAGATCCTTGGGTTCTTGATGGCTTCTAAAAGATCAGGGCCAATTTTCTTCTCCTAAACGGAGCTTCCTCACTGTCTTTAAAGGCCCTGACATCGGCATCTATAAGGCTATCATAGAGAAATTCAGTGAAGACCTTGTCAGTATCTGATACCATAAAGCTCAAGAAACCTCATAATCATATCCTGGTATAGCAGCAACACACAAACTGCTATTTACTTGGACAAGCGAGACAGGCAAGTAGCTATTGACTTGTGGGACATTTTTACGAACAGATTGTGCGCTTCTTCTCCGCCAGAAGTCGTTCAAGAAATAAACAGAGAAGACGACTGCAATTACCGTTGCGGTACAGGCAATCTGCATTGACCAAGAAAACAAGAAGTTGGCACCGGAGTACATAGCTTTGAAGCCAATTCGCAATAGATTTAGACCCAGCCACCCAAAAGGCCAATTACAGAGGGAAAGTACGACTGAAGTTGACAGAGCAAGGAGGTGGAGATCTTTTTTGCCTGGTTCTATTATGCTTTAGCACGATGTTAGCTTTACTTCCACAACAGCTAAACTCGGAATTCCTCCTTTGAGAATCTTTGCGCTCGTTCCCACAAGTATTCTTCAAGTTGAATGAGTTGTCGGGTCGATAATCAAGACATGACATGAAGCAGAGGTCAAAGGATTTACTTTTATTAGTCACTCAAATCAAACATCCCAGGGAGATCATTAAAGATTTGACCAGTTTAAATTGACTCATTTCGCTTCATATTCAATACCCATCAAACGCTATAGGCAGGGAACCCAATAAAAAAAAAGTTTTATTGCCGAATTTAAGTATGGTTCGTTTGACCGATGTCCATTGCGAATCCACAGAATTCAACGAATGAACAAAACTCCTCTTCTTCAAGAGGGACAGCTGAAAAAGGAAGAGGGAAGGCGAGAGCAAAGCAGAGAAAACACAAATCAACCGAACTCAAGTCGCCATCATGATGCTGTATAAACATGTACAATCAATATTGATCACAAGGACATCGTGCACGGCAGTCGCCACTCACTACTCAGCTCTTCCCATCCAAGAAAAGACGAAAGGAATCGCAGAACGAATAGAAACTTTACCCCCACCCAACAAAACCACAACCCCAAGACACCATTCACTTGTTCTCGCCCAAACCCATCAATCTCTTCAAGCCAGGAAAAAACGCCGAATCGTTCGAGAAGGGCGGCTTCTTTCCATGCTGCTGCAGATGCTCCTCCACCATCTCCACGACGGACCTCGCGGACAGGGGATGGAAATCGGCGCTCCAATTCGACACGAACTCCGTCGCCAGACCCCGCCGCTCCCCATCCTCCATCCCCTCCCACTTCCTCCTCAGCTCGTCCTCCCGCAGGGCGAAGTAGCCGCAGAGCTCGGAGAACAGGAGGGCCCTGCCCTTCGCCAGGGCCTCGTCCCTCTGCTTCCCCTGGGCGTGCGCCCTCGCCAACTCCTCGGCCAGGGCGGACGCGAGCTCGGCGTCGCCGGCCTCCTTCCTCCTGCCGCCGCCCATGCACGGCGCGGAGAGGGGGAGGGACCTGCGGGCGTTGAGGCGGAGGGGGTGGAGGCCGGGTGGTCCTGTTGGGGGTCGCGGCAGGGCATTCAGGGGAAGAGGAGGGTGGATTCTTAGCGCCGCCATCGGAGGAGGAGGAGGAGGAGGTTCGAATGTTTCGGAGAGGACGAGGATTTGATGAGGGGAGGACGACGGCCGGGAAGGAGAGGGATCTGGGGGAAGCGAAAACGGGACTCTGATTGCCGGTTCTAGGGTTCTTCTTACTGGTTGATGGCGATGGATAGATACGTGATTGAAAGCGTCGAAAAACGCCTGATTAATATCATTATATATACCATGAGGTATGAAAGCAAGCACAGGCCTATATTAGTCCACTTTTGGAAAAAAGAAAAATTAGCTTTTAACGATTCAGTCGCACTCAGTTTTTATTAGCTAATTTCGACTCTCCACAGTTTAAATGACACAAACTATTGTTTACATTTACACAATTTGCGAGAAAAATATTTGAAATAATCTTCATTAGCAATGTTTTTCTCTGGAAAAGATTTCAAATATTTTGATTTAAATACCCGGCGAAAATGCTGATCTCGTAAAGTTTATTAAAACGTAAAAAACTAAAGTAGAAGACCCGTAATTACGGTGCGCCCCTCTCGCAAGGATCGAATTCTAAATAGATCAAGCCCATCAAAGTCGTTGATTAGATGTGAGTACCATACAAATCTAATTGCTACGATCACATCGGAAGATCGACTCCAATGATGGATTTGTACTTGCAAGAACCATTCACATCGCACCAAATCATCTCAATATGCATGAACATTGAACGAAAGAATGGACTATGTTCATCTATTTCTTAATTTAAATGTCGCCATTACAAAATGACCGTGTTGAAGAGACCAACCCAGACATGTTCCGTTTTTTCACCAACCTCCCCACCAAAACAAGAGAGAGAATAGCTCACTTTACAAGGAAGAACAAACTTCAGATCTATGATCCATAAACTTAGAAAGAAAATGACCACCATAATTAAGGCAATCACACCAGCAACAAACGAGACCCTCGAATTCGGATTTCCTAACATGTTGCGATCGTAGTCTATGTTGCACCGACACCGACATCGACACGCGACACGACACGCCAACACGTCATTTTTTTAAAAAGTAGAGAATTCCCACACGTTGGGACACGTTATATATTAAATGTATATTTTTATATATACATGATAAATTATCATTTTTTTATTATTTTAATCAAATTAATTTGATAGAAATTCACAAATAAATAAATCAAATTAATTTGATAAATTATATATGATATATTTTATTATGCCATGTGATATAGTAAAAATTCCGTTACTTGGCTATATATATTTTTCTCTTGGAGTATCCATTTTCGTTTTTATTTTCTGCCCGTCCTTTTTATTATTCCTCTTTCTCCATCAATTTTTTAAAGCTTTTAAGAAGCCATCTTCGTCCTTTTTATTAAGGATTGGCAGAAAGCTTTTATCATTCCTCTTTCTCCCATGAAGTACTCTCTTGACCCTATCTCTCTCTTGTCTCTGCAACTGCAACAGTCCCCCTCTCCCCCTCCCTCTCTCTCTCTCTCTCTCTCTCTCTCTCTCTTCTCCACTCCTCCGATCAGATCTCCGGCAGCTCTCGCCGTGGAAACTCCGATTCGCTCAGCTCGGTCATCCATGACGCTCGGCTCGGAAGGATCGGGGGTCGTCGGTGAGTTCTCAAAACCCTTCCCGACCTAGATTTCCAGATTCTCCCTCCCCGGGCAAATTCTCTCCCCCAATCCGAACCGATTCCCAGATCCCCACCTCCCCGTTCCCCATTTCTTCGAGAGGATTCGTCGTGCGGTTCACAGCATCCGACCCTCGATTTGTGGAAATTCGAAACAACGGGTACTCGCTGTCGAAATTCCCAGATCCCCCACCTCCCCGTTCCCCACTTCCAGATCAACGGGTACTCGCTGTCTAAAGGGATCGGGATAATGCGGTATGTGTCCCTGTTCATTGCTCTGGCGAGCGAGAGATCTGACAAGGGGGGCTTTTCTTTCTTCTTTCTCCCTCTGGACTCGCGTGTCGCCGGCGTGTCCGGCGCGTTGACCGCGTGTCCGAGGATGTCCGCCGCGTGTCGGCGCATGTCGGACGCGTGTCGGTGTCCGACACCGACACGGTGGCCTCCGGAACATGTCGGTGCAACATAGTATATAGGTCAGGGGATGCTTTGAACAGAGAAGTCCTCTTGAAGCGCCGTTCCCTCTCTGAGTGCCGTGGGTCATCCATAGATGCTGGGTGCTTGTCAGTGGATTCGTGGTTTTGTAAGTAGAATTACATCACGAATTCAAGTATTTGTAGCGATTAAATTTTATGATAAGATTTGTGTATAATTTTTTCGCGAGATTGAGAATTATTTCGTGAGCAATTATGAGGCTAAATACTGCCTAATTTGTTAGGTGTAATTGTGAGTTTGGAAAATACTTAGATTATTTGAGTGCCTCGAATGTGATTTGTAATCTCTATTGTATCACTTGATTTATAGTGGAATTTCGTGCTGCTCTCCCCGTGAACGTAGGTCATTACGATCGAACCACGTAAATCTGGTGTTCAATTTATTTTTTTGTTTTGTCTATTTTATTATTCGACTCCTTAGCTTTCGCAATAGGTATTTAATTGACCGGTTCATATTTATTTGTAACATTCATTAGAATGTGAGGAATGGTTAACGCAACAACTTGAAAAACAAAAACATTATGCATGTTAGTTACTTGCACGTGACATCAACTTCTAGATGGTAGGTAAATATGTACGAAGGGAGAAAAAAACGGTGATCTTGCCTAATTCACTATCATGTAGTATATCTCATGCAAAAAGCAAATACTCTTTGAGTTGCACGTAAGATATCATTGGTAATATTGTGTAATTTTGGGATTAACTCATCACTTGAGTTTCATAAAATAACTCATTAGAATAAAGACATCCAAGAGGGACAGTTAATTATTCCAATAAGTCATTATTGAAATAACTCATGTACGCAAAGCAACATTCACAGGCACAAAAATCACCGATTTTCAAAAACAAATAAATCATGGTCAAATAATTTTTCAAGTTTATTATGTTATGCATCTCGATATTATATTTCCCAGATGAGTTAATTATGGGGGTTCAACTTGGCCATGTTTTAAACATTGGCGATGTGGGTGAGGAAATTGACAATCAAGAAGAGAGAAAGAGAACGAGCAGGTCTTTGATCCATGAAGAAAAGAAAAGAAACCAACTTGTCCCGTTGTGCTCTCCATCCCACGATTAGGAATTAGGGAAAATTACCAAAAAAGTTCTAAACCTATTGTAATTATAAAAATAAAAATTTTTAAAAAAATATTAAAGTATTATTAAAAATTATCCACGTCAATGCCGCGTGCCACATAGGACGGTCGATGCGTCCATGTCAGCGATTTTCGGCCATAATTGGTTGGATAGATTGGATTGTCACAAATGTAAAAGGTTTAGGACTCAATTGGAAAAAAAAAGTTTATGACTGAATTGATACAATTGCAATAAGTTGGACTTTTTTAGTAATTTTCCCTTAGGAATTATCCACCGGCCTGAGATCAAGGCTTTTAAGCACTCACGTTCCCCTTCTCGGCTACCGTTTGATCTCTCGTCGAGGCGGACTCTATCGACTGAGACTCGAAGGTGGTCGCCATGCCAGTAGAATTCTAGCTTAAGGCATTGTGGCCGAAGCTGCCGATCACCGAGACAGTGTGCATGGCTTCGTCAAGGTGGGCAAGACAAGCAGACGCAAGTGATGAGCGCGTAGAAGGCGCTCTTGCGAGAGAAGCCACAGTTGAGGCGGGAGAGTACGCAGAGGAGTTTGTCCAAGGCAGAGTGGAAGGTCTCTCTGTGTGGTTGAAGAAGGAAGAAGAAAGAAAAAGAAGAAAAGAAAACACAGAAAAAGAGAGAGAGAGAGAAAGGAAGAAAGAAAAGAAAAGGAAAAGGAAAAGGTTTTTGGACAAAAATGCCCAAACATGTTAAGATTCGACTAGAAAGTAAGCTTGGGCCCATATTTAAGACTAGATTTGCCATTTTAAGTTTTTATCTAAGATAAGTTTCACTTCGGGCTCTTTTTTAAGAAAACGCTCCAATTCTGGACTCTTATTTGAAAATTTTCCTAAATTTCATAGCAAGCCCAAAATCAATTTTTCTCTAATTACTATTTATTTTCTTTCTACCACATAAGTGCCATGCATAAAAAAGTCAATTTTACTTATGTTTATAAGCATAAATTTTTTTTGTTGTTGCCATGGAGTATACTTTTACGAGTTATCACTTCAATTATTATTAGATAAATAGATAAAAATGATAATTATATGACTATATTGATTTTTTCAGCATAATCTTCTCTCAAAGTTTTCTTGGAAAGAATGAAAAGCTATCTCTCTATCCAATAACTATTGTAAATAGTTTTTCTACTGCATCTAAAATGTATCATAATATATTTAACATTTGTACTTGGATTGGTGATTTTAAGAGAGTTTCCTTTAAACTTTTAATTTTGTTGGAAAGAGTCCTAAAAATTCATTTGAAAAAGAAAATAACATTTTTCTTAAATTGAATGCATTTAATGTTCAGAAGTCACATTTACTACAATATAAAAGATTAGATTTTACCGGTGGGAACGGATAAACCCAACCTCATAATTGAAAGAGAGAGGTTATACTACAACCATGTATTCTTCTTGTTATTGTCATGTTGAACAGATTGTTTATTTGGGATTTACATTTTTTAAGAGGTTGAGTCGCTTTTCTTCATAGTTTGTTATGTAAGAACACACATAGGATATGATCAACTTTTTTGATGATAGGAGAGACTCCTGACTACCAGTATTGGCACTAAAACTAAAGTAATCAGTGCTTTAAATAATAGTTCTACATGATACGAAGACCAAAGACAATATCTCCATTCATTCATCAGACTCAATTAATGTTAAACTCCATGATTAGTTCACAAATCACGGACTTAATCTTGTTCTATATACTATGTAAATTATGAGATCTTACTAAAGTTAGAACATGAAATATAGCGTAATGGTGATGGTGAGACTAGTTGGTGAAGATATGATTCCCCATAAAAATGCTATAACACACTTTATTCTCGGAGGATACATCAAGCCGACCTATAAATACCTCTAGACCTTTGAGAATGTCCGTGATGATACACATTTAAATGTAAACTCAACATCGATTGCATGGCGTACATAAAGCATGTCAAGGCTCAAAATGTGCTCCAAGTGAATCAAGCCAGCGTCCAGACCTCCCATGAAACCCAACAATCTTTTTACCGGTTGGTGGAAAAGAAAAGTACTGCCCCTCTTCGACACCAAATGGCCCAAAAGTTCTTTCATTGCTTTGAAATGCGAGGGAGCGAACGATGGTATATCCAAAATAATCTCCAAAGTAACCCAAAAATGAAGTCAAATACTCTCGAGGATAATCGAGTTTAATCTGCAGAATCAGAAACACAAACATATCTAATCCCAACCCTCAACTGTAGAATCTTAATAATCAGCATGAACAGAACACTTGGGTTGATAAGCTGTATTTTGCTAGACAAAAAAAGTAACAACTAAATAGATAATTCCGCCACATCTAGAGCATAAGACCCATTTTGGTCCGCCACAATTATCATTCATTTGTCTGTAAAATGAAAGGCAGTCGCTTCAAAAATACTTCGGCTACGCTTTGAGAACAGCTACTAAAATTAAGGAAAATTTGTTCTCAGAATTAAAAAGTTATAAAGTGAAAATACCTTTCTAAAATATATATATATATTTTTAATCTTTTGGAGGCAGTACTTTTTTTAATGTATTGAGTGCTTTCATCGTGAATGGAAGCGAGGAAGGTTGGAAAACCAAAGAGAAGTCCCTTTTCTATGATGATATCGCGTCATGCCCCGACAATGACTTTCTCATAGGATAATTCTTATTCCAGATCATTTGTGAATCCAAACTCTAAATCTACGGACTGTTCTCATATCTTACTTTTACCTCTACGCTCTATTTAAAATACTTTGACCCTCATGTACATAAACGTGACCTCCGAACCACTTAAAACCAAACCTTAGCAACAACACAGAAGTTGCACGTTTATGAGATTAAGTAAATGTCTGAAGGCCATACCTCGAGTGTTAGATGTCCTCCATCTCCACCATGTTTAGGGCCCGGAACCACAGAACCATTCTTGTCGTACTCAACAGTAATGGAGTCAATAGCTGATCCACCTTTTACAACTATTACTCTCACACCTGTGTTATCTCCATCATCCCAAGGACTGCCACCTTGACCTCCATATGGCCCAATGGATTTCAAAAAACGAAGATCAGAAATTGGTTCGGAGTAGACTCCCAGCGCATCAAGCTGGACACCAGACCTACCGTGAAAGCCGATTATCTTGCTGCATGACAATGCACAGCTAAAGAACCTTCCTTCTTCCTTACCAATGGGTCCATGCCTTCTTATATTGCTTTCGAACGTGAGCGATTGGATAACTGGAGAATCATGTCCGATATAACCCGACACTGAGGTCAAGAACTCACAAGGGTAGTCCAAGTTAACCTGCAGAATTAGCAAGTATTTACTGAATTTAACTGTCATATTGATGAATATCTATATCTTAGATAGACTACATTGGCCTAAGTAAACACCGTATCCACGTACAACCTAGAAGTTGATCGTAGACCCAATAATTTCTAAAGCTAATGTATGGATGGACTACTATTCTTTCATCATACTTTTCGGGTCAACAATCGATAACGATAGGTCTTTAGGTTCTTCAGCGCACTTTGCTAATTCACTTCCTTAGCAATGAAAAAAAAACTTATTTTACTAGGTTACTCTTATGAGGTCATCTCGCATAAAGCATGTTAATTGACCTCTGCGTAATGTATAAATTAAAACGTAAGGGAAGAAATTTAATAATCAAAAGACAACTTCAATCATTCAGTATGTTTGGATGGCTTTCATTTCCCTCAAGATGTTTCCCACATCCCATACTTTTTATATAGGTTACTATCACTCAAAGTTTACTCTGATAAAACTTTTTCAAGTTTATTAGAAAACTAATACTTAATATAATGGTGGCACAAGGCGGTGGTAGGTGCCTAGACCTTCGCCGTACCTTACTGCACCGCATAAAAACATTCCTCCTAAAGTAGCTATTAATATGAATAAGAGAAAATATGTTATAGCCATTTCCATACGTTCAATGTACTCTACGGATAGAGAATTACATAGAGTTAAACAAAAAGGATAAAAAATTGAAATATTCGTTGAAAGTGTTCGTCCGGATATTAACTGAAAAGATAATCATAGGTTCTTCTCTTCATCGGAATAATAAGTCAGTTATGCTGGTTACTAAATTTGTTGAAGAAATGAAACATAACCAAGATATATCTTTTTTATAAGAGATTGAACAATCATCAGAAGAAGAATTAGGCCAAAAATCAGGATATAGTTTGCAAAAATAAAACTTCATTGAAGAAGCAAATCAAAGGCTTTCATAAAAATTCTTGTAGAATCGAGAATGAGATTTGTATGTGTGAGAGAGAGGATCAACGGTAATATGAATGGAAAATATGCAATGAACTTACCATATGGATATCTCCGTTGCCACAGTGGCCATGTGTAGAGGACCAAATTGATTTGCCATTATCGTCATACTCAAAGGAGATGCAGGTGACAACATTTTCCAAGGTCATCTCTATTTTCTTTACACCATTAAATTTTCCATCATCCCAAGGGTGTCCACCTTGGCCTCCGAATGGTCCGCTACACTTGATCGGATAGAGATGAGATACTGGTTCGAAATATGCTCCAAGAGATTGAAGATGGGAACCAGAACTCCCATAAAATCCAATGATCTTTCCACCAGTTGCTGGAAATGAAAACTTCCATCCGGTTTCGGTGCCGAATGGTCCGTATGTTCTTCTATTACTTTGAAATGTGAGTGAGTGGATGATAGTAGAACCCAAATCATTCCCAATATATCCCGAAACTGAAGTTAGATATTCAGTCAACCAGTCTAGAGTTATCTGTAACAACCATATAAAGAGTAAGAGAATTTAATGCAACAAGTCGAGAAACAAAAAGCATGATAGATGAGAATGACTGGTGCATGATCCACTTTCTTGATGATTGAGATGATGATGCATGATCAGAAAAATAGTAGATTACCTTGCCTACTTCAACATCACATCAGCATATATTAGATGAAAAAAGAAAAAAGATAATCCACGCGCATTTATTTACGGAAAGTTAATGATTTGGAAAATATTTTTCTAAGATCGATCTATTGTACGCTTACAAAACATAATTAATGAAAAACAATTTGATCATTATGAAAATGTTTAGGGATAAAGTGTTGTTGATAAATAAAATGTTTTCCGTTGACTAATTTTTTAACGATGGAAACAAAAATTGTGTTCTAAATCATTGATTTCCATAAAACAAACGCACTAGTGTTGCAAACAGTATCTCTATCTCTTGGGTAAGTCATTGTTAGTGCTCTTTGTCAGGAAAAGAACTCATCGTTTGAACAACTATGCCCAGAGAGAATAACTAGATTTTGCCCTAGAGACGAAAATCTATCTGCAGAAAGTCCACAGATGGAGAACAATTGATTCGCTCTCCCTTGTCAACCGTTTTAAAATACAAAAATTTCAAAAGGTGTTCAAATTTAGGTTGAATTTATTTTAACAAATCTTCGTCCTATAAAAACTTGCCTCCTATTGATGGTGTCATACCTAAGTTACAAGGTGAACAGTTTATCATTTTCATATAGACACCGTCTTCAGCAATGGCATGAGAAGCTGCATCGTTGAAAATAGAAAGGGTTATGTTTATCTGACAGTAAGTTCCTACTAGAGTACTGTACCGTATTTATTTTGCCACCATCACTTGCACCGTGTCCAAAAGAACGACCCTCCTCATAGGTAATATTAATAGATTCAATTGCAGATCGAGAGACTACAACAATTTGTCTCACATCTGTATGCTTGCCATCATCCCACCGGTTTTCCCCATTTCCAAACGGACCTACGACTTCGAAGGGATATGGATGAGAGACAGGTCCAAAATAAGCTCCAATGGAATCCAGATAAAGGCCACACCTTCCATGAAAACCAATGATCTTTCCATCAGCTGGTGGAAATTTGAAAAACTTCCCTTTCTCATTGCCAATTGGCCCATATGACCTCTTATTGCTGTGGAAGGTAAGAGAGTTGATGACATGATAAGAATCTTCTCGAATGTGGCCGGACACTGAAATCAAGTATTCATTTGGATAATCTAAAGGTAACTGCAACAATTGCAGAAGAGCAAAGTGAGTATCAATCAACCTTGAAGAATGAAAGTTTCTATGCTCTCTAGATGCATTATTTAGGTTAAGTTTTCTCGTAACGAAAGATGTTTAATTCCTGGAAGGACTGGAGTACTAGTTAGAGGCTATGTCAACGTTTACTTGTATTCCTTCTCTTATCATGGAGCACAGTTTTGCGTTTTTCACTGTTCTTCTATCCTAACTATTCAACTCCATCTAGAACCCGCAATGCTTTGCTCCATAACCAAACGGCATTCTTGACGATGACAAGCACTGAAGCAATCTCGGATTATATGTAACATCAGAGTAAGTAGACGACGCTAGTGCAATTATCTTCCTTTTTTTATTTTTGGCACCCTAAAGACAAATATTAGGAAAGTACACCAAAACCATCAAGATAATGGGAGCTAATCAAGCATCATGGAAGTACCCAGTTGATTTGTTTCGAGCAAGTCCATCTTCTATGACTCAGTGACACCACTTTTTCTCAACCTCCATTCCATAAACGAACAGTAGCCGATATTTTCATGGAGAATAGCATAACTATATGTAAATATTGCAAATCAACAAAGCGAACTGTAAGCTAAAGGACTCACCTCCAATGCTTGGCCTCCCCAAGATTCACCATGTCTTGGCGAGGACACCAAACACCCATTGTGATCATAGTCAATAGTAATGGACTCGATCACTGAACTAACAACGATTGTTATTTTTCTTATGTCATTGTATGATTGATCATCATAAGAACTTCCACCATTGCCTCCACATGGCCCCACAGAGGCACGAAGCGAGGGGAATGGATCTAAAGGTATTCCAATTG